TGTTTTGTGTATTATTTTGTAATCTACATAACATATTTGAATAGTGCTTCATGTATAATTTATAAATAACTAGACAAATATATTGGATACTCAGCCTGTGGACTAAAGGGTCCCAGGTTCAATTCTAGTCAAGGGCACATGCCAGGGGTTGCAGCCTCAGTCCCCAGTAGGGGGCATGCAGGAGGCAGCCAATCAATGATTCTCTTTCATCACTGATGTTTCTGTCTCTCTCTCCCTCTCCCCTTCCTCTCTGAAATAAATAAAAATATATTTAAAAATATATATATATTGGATACTTACTAGAACAGCATCCTATATAATAAAGAGGTAATATGCAAATTGACCATCATGCCCTTGCATAAGATGGCTGCCCCCATGTGGGCACAAGATGGCCACCACAAGATGGCCAGCAGTGGAGGGCAGTTATGGGCAATCGGGCCAGCAGGGGAGGGCAGTTGGGAGTGACCAGGCTGGCAGGGGAGGGCAGTTGGGGGGGTCCAGGCCTGCAGGGGAGGGCAGTTGGGAGTGACCAGGTCAGCAGGGGAGAGCAGTTGGAGGCGATCAGGCCGGCAGGGGAATGGTTAGGGGTGATCAGGCTGGCAGACAGAAGCAGTTAGGGGCAATCAGGCAGGCAGGCAGGAGAGCGGTTAGGAGCCAGTAGTCCCGGATTGTGAGAGGGATGTCCGACTGCCAGTTTAGGCCCAATCCCCACAGGGGATCATCCCCCGAGGGGATCACCCCAGATTGGAGAGGGTGCAGGCTGGGCTGAGGGGAATTTCATGCACCGAGCCTCTAGTTTTATTATAAGGCTGTTTGATCAAAATAGTTTGGAGACTCTAGTCTAAAACACCATTTTAATTACATCAATCACTTAATCGAAAATTATAATTTAATCTCCACTGGCTACAAAGTATCATCTAAACTCTTATTGTGGCAAAAGTGCCCCTTCACAATGTGGCCCCAACACTTTTATTTTTTTAATTGATTGGAGAGAGAAAAACATCAATGAGACATTGATTGGCTGCCTCCTGCATGCCCCCTACTAGGAATTGAGCCTGAAAACGGGCATGTACCCAAAACCCGGGCATGTGCCCTGACCAGGAATCTGACCAGCAACCTCTTGGTGCAAGGGTCGATGTTCAACCACTGAGCCACACCTGCTGGGATCCAACTCCTTTCTTATCCTTGTTTCCTGCCACTCTTCTCATTCCTGGTACCCATATGGGAAAACTCACCCAGTCTTCCCTGATCTTGTTACGATATTTTGAGTATCTATCTCCTATATGATCTTAGCACTGTTGGGTATCGACTGATATTGGCCCCTTTCACAAGTAGAAAATTTCTACACATCTTTCAAACCCTGATAGATGGTCACCTACTCTGTGAAGCTCCCCCCAGACTCCCCCAAGAGTTACAAAGCACATGCTTGTGCTGTCATTGGGGTCCATATCTGTGTCTACCACAAGGACAGGAGAGCACATATTATCATTCTCTGTGTGGGTCTTATATACCAGACATGAATAAATGTTAATCAGTGCCCTCCACCATAAATATACTAAAATCTATTTAGAGTTGGAAAAATTATTCTAACAACTGTATTATTTCTACTACAGGGTCCTAGTTAAGAGAATGTCATAAATCACTTCAATCTATGGCATGTAGTATTTCAGGCAAAATAGCTTTATAAATTTTACACTGGTGTAAAAATTGCACAATATATATAGGAATAAAGTGGAGCTCAACCAAGCAGACTTGTGTGCCCAAACTAATACCAAATATATTATTTCTTTGTTTGTTATCAGCAGAGAAAGCACTGAAAAATCTGCATTTATTTTCCTCAAAACTAAATGCTGGGACATAGTTGCATTTAAAGACTAATTATCAGACATTCCTTTTGATGGATAATTACCAAAGCCACATTTCAAAAATCTTTACATAAACAACCTCAAGAATTACTCCTAAAATCATGCTAGACAAAGCCTGCCAAGAACAGATTAGGTGCAATGTATAGAAAGACATATATACCACCCTTCAATACAAAATTTTTCAAAAAAACTCATGGAGAGTATAACAATTTATATTTATAAAGAACCGCTGTATATATAAACACTGTTATAAAGAACAAAACAAACTCAGGAAAAAAGTAACCAAAGTATTACTCCTAACACATAAGGCAACTAATGCCCTAGTATCTCTAAATCCTTTACAAAAGAAGATAGCATAAGAAGTTCTAGCTCAGGGTTTTGCCGGTGTGTGTGTGTGTGTGTGTGTGTGTGTGTGTGTGTGTGTTATTTTTGCTTCTTCTTTTTCTTTTCATCTGCTTCCATTTAAAGCTTAACTTCTCCAGCCGTAAGAGCTCCCAGTTTCTTATTTTTTGCTTCCTTGATCTTTTTCTTGATGGCAGCCATATCAATTTTAGTTTCGGTAGAAGCTTCCTCTGGTTTTTCTTTAGGTGGAATAAAAGCTTTGTTTCTTTCCTCTTGTCTCTCACTGAGAGCTTCTGCTTGTTTAGCCTTTATTGCTTCCATTTTCTGTCACTTCTTTTGACTTGCCTTCAGAAAGTATTCACCAGTAGCCAATTTTTTTTCAAATTATAAGAGAAAGTTTATTTAGAAAATTACAGAGGTAGTAGAAGTGAGCCAGCTGGGCTGCGTAGGCTCAGGAAACAAGTTACAGAAGGAAAAGAAGGCCCTTAGAGCTTAGGAGAGAGAAAACAAAGGTAAGGCTCTGGCGGGGGAGGAAGGGGGCATGGAGGGCATGCCTAGCCAATTCTTTTTTTTATATATTATTTTGAGTTTATTAAAATATAGAAATTAATTGCATTTCTTTGACTGTCAGACTCAGAGCATATTAGAAGTGAGGCATCACTTGATACATATATCTTTGTTTTTCTTTTTTATTGATTTTATTGGGGTGACAATCCTATATAATAAAAGGCTAATATGCAAATCAACCGAACGGCAGAAGGACTGGTCGTTATGACGCGCACTGACCACCAGGGGGCAGACGCTCAGTGCAGGAGCTGCCCCCTGGTGGTCAGTGCGCTCCCACAGGGGGAGCATTGCTCAGCCAGAAACCCTGAACCAGGCTCACAGCTGGCAAGCGCAGCGGCAGTGGTGGGAGCCTCTGCAACAGCGCTAAGAATGTCCGACTGATGGCTTAGGCCCACTCCCCACGTGGGCCTAAGCCATCAGTCGGACATCCCCTGAGGGCTTCCGGACTGCAAGAGGGCACGGGCCAGGCTGAGGGACCCCCCCCCCCCCAGTGCACAAATTTCATGCACTGGGCCTCTAGTAGTTAATAAAATCATATAGGTTTCCAGGGTACAATTCTACAATACATCATCTGTATATTGTATTGTATGTTCACCACCCCAAGACAAGTTTCCTTTCATACCATTTATTCCCTCTTTAGCCTCTTCTACCTTCCCCACCCTCCTTCCCTTCTGGTAACCACCATACTCTTGTCCGTGTCTATGAGATTTGTGTGTGTTTTTTGTCTTACTCCCTTCACCTTTTTCACCCAGCCCCTTACCCTCTCCCCTCTGGCAGCTGCCTGTCTATTCTCTGCATCTGTGAGTCTGTTTCTCTTTTGTTTGTTAGTTTATTTTGTTTATTACGTTCCACATATAAGTGAAATCATATGGTATTTGTCTTTCTCTGACTGACTTATTGCACTTAGCATCATACTCTCCAGGTCTATCCATGCTGTCGCAAAGGGTAAGATATCCTTCTTTTTTTACTGCTAAGTAGTATTCCATTGTGCAAATGTACCACAGCTTTTCTATCCACTCATCTACTGATGGGCACCTGGGCTGCTTCTAAATCTTGGTTCTTGTAAATAACATTGCAATAAACATAGGGGCGCATATATTCTTTCAAATTAGTGTTTCAGGATTTTTTGGGTATAGTCCCAGGAGTGGAATCACTGGGTCATAAGGCAGTTCCATTTTTAATTTTTTTAGGAAACTCCATCTTCTTTCCACAGAGGCTGCACCAATCTGCATTCCCACCAACAGTGCACAAGGGGTGTGTTTCATTTGAACAGGACAAATTCTCCAGGATGATGTTGCATGTGATATCATTAAAATAGGTTCTTTAGTAAGAAATAAAGATTTGTAAAAAGACAACGGCTTATTGGTCCCAAAGGATCTACATTGAAGGCATTGGAACTCTTAACAAGCTTACATTATGGTTCAGGGAAACAGTTTTAGCCATTGGACCTTTCAGTGGCTTAAAAGAGGTTTGAAAAATAGTTCTAAATACTATGAAGAATACTCATCCAATTTATAATATTAAAACCTTAATGATTAAATGAGAGTTGGAAAACGTAATCATTAATGTTTTAATGAGCCTAATAGTTTTATTAGGTCTCTGGCCCTAATGGTGACATAAAGTCATGCTGCCTTCAGTCAGGTCCAGGGTTGTATTAACGTGCTTTGTTCTCCAGCTCTGGCTTCTGGTAACGAAATTCACTTTTCCCAGCCGCTGTGGCTGGCCCATTCAGTATGGATGATGCCATCTTCCCCAAATATATAATTTTATGTATCTCTTAAAAGAACCTAGAAATGCTTTGTGCTGTGCTTTTTCTAAAAAGCAGCTTTGCTATATAACACTGCCACCTAGTGGTAGACTTCAAAATACAGCAACTCAAAATAATCCTGTCATCACTGTTTCAAAGATAAGTAATAGGACCTTCGCTTCTGGCCATGATGGAATAACAGGGAACCAATTTTTCCTCCAAAAAAAATATTCCACAATGGTATGCAAGACAGTGGACAATAGGCAATAAAGGACAGTGGTTCTTTGAAACAGGAAACAAACAAGGTCAACACTATTGTCCCCAGATTGCTGTCTTGAAAGAGATCCCAGGCCATAGGGCAAAGAGAGGAACCCAGAGGAGCCTAGTGGACTCATTATTGATCATGTATCAATATTTGTTCATCATTTTTAACAAATGTCCCACTCTAATGCAAGATGTCAATTACAGAGGAAACTATATGTTATAAACTGTATGTTTATAAAAACCCTTCATACTTTATGCTCAATTTTTCTGGAAACCTAAAACTGCTCTGAATAGTGTGTATGGCCAAGGCATGAGGAGCACTGGGGGGTGCACCTGGGCTAGTTGGGGGGATCTCCAAGTGAGGCATACCTAGCAGGTCTTAAGATGGAGTCCGGAATGGGGTTAGTTATGATCCTAGTGCCTTTCATGCCCTCTGAGAGTCCTGTCTGCCTCTCTCCCAGACTCTTCCCACCCCCCAGTCACTTGGCTTATGATTCAGTCCCCTGGATGGGGCAAGACAGAAATGAGCCTCTTTGGCAGCGGCTCACACAGCCGGGGAAGCAGGTGTTCACTCACAGGCTCAACTTTTTCCCCCATGGGAGAAATCACAGGCTGAAAAAAATCCCTTTTGGCCCTAAACTGCTGCCTTGGAGAAGGAGTGATGAAGGTAAAGTCAGGCTATTCTTATCCACTCCAATGCACCCAAACCTGTAATTCTTTTCTCTTTTATTCCAATGGTGTGCTGGAACTTCTCTTCTGGAAACATGGACTTCCATACAGGCTCTCGCATCAGTGTTTTCAGAGGCTCCTGGACTGTGGCCAAGAGGGGCTGGGGCTGCTTCACAGGCCACCGTAGTGTCCATAGTCAGGACCACCATCAGTCTGCCTATTAACCAATGCACAGTTGGGTGAGACTTCTGCATACCTTAGCATATGTTGCTGGATCTCACAGCTCCCCTAACGGCATTTTTGCCCATGGATGAACACTACATTTTTATTGTTGGGGGACAAAAAACAAGGGATATCATACGTAGCTATGATGCTGACATTCTAGAGACATTTGTTATTGTAATGTTGGGGAAGGATGCTACTGGCATCTGGTAGACAGGGAATAGGATGCTGTGATCTAGGACAGCTCCCACAAAGAATGAGCCTATACAAAATGTCAACAGAGCCCTAGAGGATTTGGCTCAGTGGATAGAGCGTCAACCTGCAGACTGAAGGGTCCCAGGTTCAATTCCGGTCAAGGGCACATGCCCACATTGCGGGCTCAATCCCCACTGGAGGGGCGTGCAGGAGGCAGCCGATCAATGATTCTCTTTCATCATTGATGTTTCTATCTATCTCTCTCCTTCTCTGTTCCTCTCTAAAATCAATAATCATATATTAAAAAGAAAGAAAGAAAATGTCAACAGAGCCAAGGCTGGGAAATGCTGATGAATAATATCCAAACTATTTTGAAAAGGAAGAACAAAGTTAGAGGACTTAACCTACCTGATTTCAAGTCACAATATAAAGTTACGGTGATGAAAACAGTACAATTGGTATAAAGATAGATGAATATGTGGTGATATAAAGTCATGCTGCCCTTGATCAGGTCCAGGGTTGCATTAACATGCTTTGTTCTCCAGCTTTGACTTCTGGTTATGAAATTCACTTTTCCCAGCCGCTGTGGCTGGCCCATTCAGTATTCTGAAGAACCCAAAAAGAACAGAAGAGTGAATGCAGAAATAGACGCATACATATCAATTGGTTTCCACAAGGTACCAACAACATTTGATAGGGAAAGAATAATCTTTCAACAAATGGTACTGAAACAATAAATGTAAGTATAAAACATATACAAAATTGAAGTCAAGTTATATCATAGACCAAGATTTTCGATCACTGTGTCACAGTACACTGGTGTGCTGCAAGAATTTTTAAAAGATGCAATACCTAGAGAAAAAGGGCGGTGGAGTAAGTGGATACTACACATCATACTCCCAGGACCAAACTGGAATTACACCTACAATTAAAAAAAAAAAAATCCTGAGTAATCAACTAAAGACTAGCTGGAGGATATCCTGATAACCAAGGATGGAAAGTGGAGACCACATAGAGACTGGTAGGAAGGGTAAAGGCACCATAAGGCTGGCCAGGCTCCCAGAGACTAGAGGGATATCTCAGCTGTGAGGGTTGCCACTGAGAATTCTGGGGTCTAAAACCCAAGCTTGGTCCCCCAGCAGATAGCACCAGAACTGAAAAAGGTGCCCACATAACATCTGGCTATGAAAAGCAGCAGGGTTACTGTCTGCCAGGGAAAGACATTGGAAATGCAGGTACCCTCTTAAAGGGCCGATGCACAAAATTTTGTGTGCAGCCACTCACCTTGAGCTTCAGCAGAGGGATAGCAGAGTAGACTCGAGCTGTGTGACCAGAAACCAAGATTGGTGACTTTAGGATTAGAACTCAGAAGGCCAACACCCTAGTTTCCAGTGCTGAGTCATTTCCTCATGCTGCAGAGGACATTAAGAGACTGAAAATAACAATTAGCCTCCAGGCAGAAGCAATTGACCCACCCTGTTGGGAAAACCTCTCAGCCCACCTGTGGACGATTACCTGAGGCTACTCAAGACAATCCAATCAGTCTGCAGGCAAAGGTGGATCTCTGAAGGCTTTGGGTCTTACCCTGATCTAATTAGTCAGAAACAGCATTTAACACTGTCCTGCACTAGAGATTGAGAGGTATAGCAGATCTACCTAATACATAGTCACAAACCCAAACAGGCAACCAAAATGGGGAGACAAAAATACAACCCCTAAATGAAAGAAAAGAGAATTCTCCAGAAGAGATAAATGAAGATAAGAAATTTATCAGACATAGAGTTCAGAATAATGATGGCAAAGATGCTCAACAGCATGAGAAAAGATATAGTAACTATGAAAAGTGAAATAGCACTAATAAAAAACACATGTGAAGGAATACACAGCCATTTAGGGGAAGCCGAGGATCAGATCAGTGAATTTGAAGATAGGGTAAAAAAAATCACTCAATCTGAGAACCAAAACAGAAAAAAATATTAAAAAACAGTAGGACAGCTTAAGGGTGCTGTGGAGCAACATGAAACATAACAATATTTGCATAGTAGGTATGCCAGAAGGAACAGAAAGTGAGCAAGGGATAGAGAATGTGTTTGAAAAAATGGCAGAAAACTTCCCTAACTTGGTAAAGGAAAAAGCCACACAAATACAGGAGGCGCAGAGAATCCCAAGCAAGAAGAACCCAAGGAGGCCCATGCCCAGACACATCATAATTAATATAAATAAATAAACAATTGTATACTAATTGGAAGGAAGACCATGAATAATTGATGCCCATAAAGACCATATGAAGCATCTCCAAACTGGGAAAGTTTCACTGCAGTCAGATAAGGGCACAGTTAGAAAGGGAGGTGACACAGCTCCAGTGGAAGCTTCAAGTCCTCCCTGAACTGTATCAGGAAAAATATAATTTTCACCAGATACCTGATTTAGAGAGAATATACCCTGCAAAGAAAAACACGGGGAAATTCTTCAAAACCAGACATCAAGACCAGCCAGTAACGTGAAAAGTTGGACACCTACAAAATACAAACTGAAATTCGTTCCAGAAAATTTGAAAGCCTAGTCTCAAAGCATATTTAGAGCAAAGCTCATGGTAATGAGCTGAGACTCTTGGCTGAAAGAGCTTCCCTTCTTCTCTCTCTAAAATCTCCACAGCTTAAGAAAATAAAATCCAGTGCTAGCTGGTTTACCTCAGTCGATACAGTGTCGGCCTGTGGACCAACGGGTCCGGGGTTTGATTCTGGTCAAGGGCATGTATCTTGGTTGCAGGCTCCTCCCCAGCCCAGGCCCTAGTCAGAGCTCATGCAGGAAGCAACCAATCAAAGCGTTTCTCTCACATCAATGTTTCTCTCTGCCTTTCCCTCTCTCGTCCACTCTCCCTAAAAATCAATGGGAAAATATCCTCAGGTGAGGATTAACAAAAAGAAGGAGGAGGAGGAGGAAGGGGAAGAGGAGGAGAAGGTGGTAGTGGAGGAGAAAAGAAAATCCATGCCCGAGACCCCAAAGAGAAAGAATGTAAGGTTTTGAAAAATATCTGTATGTCCTTGGTGTTGCCAAAAGAACTTCTGGCAGTGTCCAGAGAGGACCACCAGGGTATCGGAATTCCACTGACCCATACTCTGGTCCTCCAGCTTGCCTTGTCAAACGTCAGATGTTTCAGAGGCTTAAGGGGTAGATCCAGAGAAGACTCTCAGCTCATCCCCCATTCTAGAAATTCAGCAAGAAATTAGCTAAGAATGTTCATCCAACACCTATAGAAACATCCAACACCTGTGGAGAATTTTATAAGAGTTTGTTTGAGCCAAACTGAGAAGCAAGATCTCAAATGCTCCAGACAGTGACAGTTTTGCAATTTCTTTTCTGCATTTAAAATTAAGAATTTAAGGAAGAGCACATGAAGGTGGGAGAAAGCAAGACGGGGATTGGCTTATGAGATAGTTAACACGATTATGTGCTCTCTTAAGGGTGGTCACACTGTAGTATGGGTCTGAAAGTCTGGTCAGATATTAGAAGGAGGGATCTGAAAGGGGGCATTTGAAAGGTGTGTTAACCTAGATGCACAAGAACAATAGACAGGGCTTGCTTAAGGCAAAGATAAGCCTTTTACTGAAGAAATTATATGCCTGGGGCATGACTACCCACCACAACCTGCCCAGGTACAAATTTATGATCAGATCATCCCGTGAGGTTACTTTCTGTAGAACCCCTTTTTGGTCCACAGAACTTTCTCCATGGTGGGCCTTACATGGCTCCGAACTTCCTCCCCATCTTTCATCAACTACAAGAAGTATCTTTACGAGAAAGGTTGTCCAGCTCTTTCTCTCTCCCTCTCCCCCTCTCCCTCTCTCCCTCCTTCCCTCCTTCTCCTCCTCCTCTTCTCTCTCCCTTCCACCTTCTCCCTCCCTCTCCCTCCCTCCTCCTCCTTCCCTCCCCCTCTTCTCTTTCCCTCCCTCCTTCCCCCTCCCTCTCCTTCTTTCCCCCTCCCTCTCCCTCCTTCCCCCTCCTCTTCTCTCTCCTTCCCTCATTCTCCCTCCCTCTCCCTCTCTTCCTCTCTTCCTCCTTTTATCCCTCCTCCCTCCCTCTTTCCTCCACCTCTCTCCCCTCTCCTCTCTTTCCCCTAAAAAAAAAAGAAAGGTTGTCCACACAGCCTAAAAACAGAAGTGAGTCACCTCTAAATTGACTCCAGTAAGTCTACAACTATAGTCAGAAACACAGCAAGACACTCTTCTTCTCTCTACCCAAATAATTTTTTCTATTTTATTTTCATTGCTAATAAGTGATTATGTAATGTCCAAAATGAAAACCACATAGGATTATACTTCCTACAAAAATAGGAATTATAATAAACCTCTAGTTTATTTCCACGTGGCACCAAATTAATTGCTTCTATTTTATTCTATTTGCAAGCAGCATAATTACAGGTTTTCATTTATTTGTTTTGTTTTGTTGTTATTTTTGTTGTTGTTAATCCTCACCTGAGGATATTTTTCCCATTGCTTTTCAGAGAGAGTAGAAGAGAGGGAGGGAGGGAGAGAGAGAGAGAGAGAGAGAGAGAGAGAGAGAGAGAGAGAAACATCGAAGTGAGAGACACATTGGACTGGTTGCCTCCCGAAGCAAACCCTTAACCCAGTATGTGCCCTTGACCAGGAATCAAACTGGAGACCCCTCAGTGTGAAGGCCAAAACTCTAACCACTGAGACACACTGGACTTTTAACAAGTCTTCTAATAAACCCAGGAAACCAGCAAATATTTTATTTTGACATTCCTTTAAAATAATTTTGATTTTTTTCTATTGATTTTATTGACATTATATAAAGTAATTACACAACATCTCAAAAGGAGGCCAGTGGATTACAATGTTTAGAATTGTGGATTATTTTGTCCCTGCCTTGAATGTGAATCAGATTTAACCCTGAAGCCACAGCTGCCTCACCCTCCTGAACTCCTTGAGGAGTTGATTGGGAGGCAACCTACACATTGACTCTGAAAGGTGTCCCAGGTGGGGGTTGGGGAACTAACAGGATTCACAGCTCGAACCCAGCTGTTAGGTAGGAAGTTAGAGGTGAGCGGCTGGAGGGTAGGGTCTGCCCTGGGGGCCTGAACAAGGGTGGGACCAACACTACCTTTAGACCGCCTTCTATGGGTGTGGTCCAGCACCCAGCAAACCGCCAGCGGGCAGGTTCATGTTCTTGGCGCAAGCTTAGAGGAAAAGGACGTGACCTCAATTATAATAAAATTTACATTTCTGTTTTCACACACACATGGGTTTTTCTGTATGCATTATGGGTAAGAGCATGCCCAGAAGAAATATAGTTATGTAACCCTTTTCTGTCAATCATCCCTAAATGCAAATGAAAGTCTTAACCCAGAAAATCCCTCATTTAAACCATATAACCCCAAAGTTCCAGGCCCATTGTCTCTCTCAACTGTCCCGTTCCTCACTTGGAGTGTATCTTCAATAAATCCCACTTTGCTTTACTTTCATTTTCATTGACCTTGAAATCTTTTCTGCATCAACGAGAACTGAGGTCCCAACCAGTAACCTCAATGAAATGTGTGCTATGCTGGATGCAAGGTTAGAGGTAAGAAGATGTGATATGACATAATAGTTGGTAGTCAAGGATATCTTAAAATCCAAATACCATTATGAAGGTTCTGGCTACTTATGTCAAGCTTCTAGGTTTTAGCCTCAGTAACATTTACCCCAGGATCTCCCATTGTCTCCCAGATCCTTAGCAGTCCAGCCATGGTAGCTTAACCAGCTTATTCCTGGGGAATTACTGCTGGTGTGTCATGGTCATATGCATATGAAACAGTTCTGAAAAGGATCCCAGGACCAAATGAGAAGAGCTATATTTCATATGTACCCATTTCCATTGTATTTCATAAAGTTTATATTCTTGAGAATTTTACATTTTATTTTGAACTTCTTAATTTGAATATTAGAAATAAAATATGATTCATAGGAAAATCTACTTACATATCTTCCTGAAGCATCCAGACAGAGAGAGGCCTGAGATTTTAGAATATCAAGATTCAGTGGTATCTTGATCTTTATCAAGTCTAAGAATCAAAAGTGAAGCAGCGCCCAGCAGTGTGGTTCAGTGGTTGGGTGTCGAACCATGCACCAAGAGGTCACAGGTTTGATTCTCTCTCTTCTTTTTTTAAAAAATACATTTTTATTGATTTCAGAGAAGGAAGAGGGAAAGAGAGATAGAAACATCAATGATGAGAGAGAATCATTGATTGGCTGCCTCCTGCATGCCCCCCACTGGGGATTGAGCTTGCAACCCGGGCATGTGCCCTTGACCAGAATAGAAATTGGGACCCTTCAGTCCACAGGCTGACACTCTATCCCCCAAGCCAAACCAGCTAGGGCTCCCTCTCTTCTTATAGAACCACCTCCAATACCAATATCTATATAATTTAATGTTCAATCAGAAACAGAATCAGGACTGTTCTGAATGCAAGTTGCATAGTGAAATTATACACGTGTTTGGGCACATAGATACACACACACACACACACACACACATATGCGTGCACACACACACATCAAGACATCCTATATAATAAAAGCCTAATCTGCTAAGTGTCCAGTTGTCCTGTCGGCCATTCAACCTATCAAAGCTTAATATGCTAATGATATGCCTCTAGTTTATTTAAGGAATTGGCTTATACACTTGTGGAGCCTGGATAGGGGAGAATGAGATTTCTCAGGCAGGCTGGTGGAAGGGCAGGCTGACACTCTGGCAGGAAAGAAATCTGCTGTAAAGGGTGTGATTTCTTTTCCCTGGGGAACGAAGAAGCTTTGCTCCTAAGACTTTCAATGATTGCATCACCCAGATTATTGAGAATCAAATCCAACTGTTTCTGTAATCCAATCAACCCACAAAATACCTTTGCAGCAACATCTAGATTAGTGAGTTTTCTTAATAAAATAACTGTGCAGTATACACTAGCCAAGAAGACATGTAAGCCATACCCTCAATGATGGAAAGAAATGTGTCAGTAAGAGCTGAGAAAACAGAAAAAATACAAAGAGAAGTCAGGATATCTATATAAATAATATTGTCAAGCAAAAGGTAATTAAGAAGCAAGAGTTCTAAAACATTATAGAGAAAAAATGTTTATATATGTATACACGTATAACTAGAGAGCATAGATTCTAAGTCATGTAAATTCTAAATCATATCTTGGGAAAATATGATAGATGTAAAATTGCCTGGTAGAATCTGTACTGCCTCTTAATCTGATTGCTTCAAATTTCTTTCTAAATGTGTTACATAGTTAATTAAGGGATTAAGTAGGAGGGCATTTAAGAAAAGGGAGGGTCACACTGGGTATTTATAAACCCTGGATCTTGGAGAGCTGCTCAGTTCCCCTCTCCTCTCTGTGGAATCCAGGTACTTCTTCCCAAGATGGGTTTGACCAGCACTTCAAGTGGTAAGTTGCCATCTGCTTTTTGCTCTCTTCTTTGATAATGCCACATGCTTTGTGTTCTTTCCAGAGATTATTAAGGTTAAACTCAGTCACAATTAGAGAAAGATTGTTGGAGTCTGGGGTGTTTTATGTTGATACATTATGTTAGGGGCAGAAATATGAATCATGCTCTGTTAACCATGATTGTTCTGTTCTGGTTAGAGAAAGCACATTTTTCTTTTTAATATCTTTTTATAGATTTCAGGAAGGAATGGAGAGGGAGAGAGCTAGAAACTTCAATGATGAGAAAGAATCATTGATGGGCTGCCTCTTGCATGCCCTCTGCTGGGGATCGAGCCGAAACACAGGCTTGTGCCCTGACAGGGAATCGAACCATGATCTCCTGGTTTATAAGTCAATGCTCAACCTCTGACCTGGCTGGATGAGAAATCACATTCTAACCTGGCTGAGAGTTGTACTCCCTGGGACATAGGAGTTGACCTGGGAATGCTGTCCATTCTCCTTTTTCAAGAAATGCCTATCATCATGGAAAGATTAACAACCTTGTTGCCAAAACAATACACCCCACCCCCGCCCGAATTGCCTCTAATCTGTATCATTTTACCCATTCTTATTCCTTTTGCCTACTTCCCCATGCCTGAATACCCATTTTTATTCCTTTTGCATCCCATTCTTATTCCCTTTGCCTACTTTCCTATGTAATCTTTGTCTTTTTACCCAATATAAGCAGCTAGCTTATGGGGGGAGGCGGGTAAAGCAGATTTTCATGAACGACCTGCTACTCTCCCATACTGTTGGCATTATTGGAATAAGCACTCATATGTGATTCAATCCTGTCTCTGCTTAATTGGCTCAATTAGTGACAGGCAACCTGGGCCCATTTGTTGTCCCTTTAAGATGTTATACAACAGGAAAAACCTTCTGGGCAACATACATAGTAAGAGACAGCCATGAGTCCCATCTGTGGATTGTCAAAGTTTTAAAGTTGGCACTTTATTTTTTGTTAATCCTCACCAGAGGATATTTTTTCCATTGCTCTTCAGAGAGTATGGGAGAGAGGGAGGGAGGGAAAGAGACATCAATGTGAGGGAGACACATCAACTGGTTGCCTCCCCATGGAGGCTGGGGATCAAACCTGCAGCCCAGATATGTGCTCTTGACCGGGAATTGAGCCTGAGACCCTTCAGTGTGTGGACCAACGCTCTAACCAGTTAGCAACACTGGCCAGGGCAAAGTTGGCACTTTATGTATTTTTGTATTTTAAATATATTTCTATTGATTTCAGAGAGGAAGGAAAGGGAGAGATAGAAACATCAATGAGAAAGAATCATTGATCAGTATCTCCTGCACGCCCTCTACTGGGGATTGAGCCTGCAACCCAGGCATGGGCCCTTGACCAGAATCCTTCAGGCCACAGGCTGACATTCTATCCACTGAGCCAAACGGCTAGGGCAAAGTTGGCACTTTAAATGAAGAAAAATATATATGGAATCCCTAAATATTTTATATGTAATTTCCCTAAAATTTATTTTTATCACAAAGTAACAGTTTTTGTGTATTTTATTAATTCTATTAAGTTTTTTCATGTGTTACTTGTGTTATTTATTTCCATTAGTTTTCCTGGCTCCTATTGCTTGCTATTCTCTTTGCATGTAATTGCGTGGATTTCCAGTAACTTCTTCCTTTGGTAACTCAGACCATAGGCTGTCTTTTTTTTACATATATATATATCCAAACTATATGTCTTCAATTTAGCATTACTATAACTCTATTCCTAAAGAAAAAATAAAGAATACAGTCAAACCTTAGCTCTTGAAAGTAGTCTCCCATCTCGAACAATTTAGTTCTTGAAAATTCAGTTCTCTACGAAGTTGTTCACGAAAAAAATGTCTCCACTTTCTAACAAAACTTCAATTCTGAATCTGACAACCCTTTCCTGTTGACACATCAGCATTATAAAAAGCATCTAGGTCCAAACAAAGGAGAGAATGCAGGTCAGTTTACCCCTAACACTCCAGTTGTTTAAATCTCAGGAAATTGTGCTGTGAATATCTTCGTGGGTGTTTTTTTGTTTTGTTTTGCTATTGTTGCTAGTGAAATGGATCGTTAGCACAATTTTAAAACATGAAGAGGCCATCAAGTGCCGTTGGTGCTACTAAGGTTGTGAAAGTGCTCACAAAACAAAGGTGACAGTCAATTGAGGAAGTAGAAAAACTGTTGTTTTGGATAAACGAAAAGCAGTTGACAGCATTTCTAAGGCAATGATATGTGAAAAAGGGAAGATGCTGCACCCCTGGAACGAGTGCTGAAAGTGATTTAAGACTAGTAGGGATGGTTTAATAAATTTAAGAAAAGAAGTATTTGTTTATAGGTTAAACAGGATATTAGACATACTGTATATAAGAAAGGTTAAATAGGGAATCACTTAGGAATCTTGAATGGATTAATTCAACTTACATGATTTCTAATGAGAAAGAATGATTTGGTTTTCGAACAAATTGCTTCTCAAATAGCCTTCCAGAATGAAGTAAGTTCCAGAACAGGGGTTCCACTGTAATCATTGGACATACGAGCTTTCAACCTGAAATAAACATAAGACATATGCTCACACAGTTTTTAATACATAAGCATATCCTTCATATTTCTCTCCCCATTTTCTCTTCATCAGGCGAACTACAGAAAAGAACCTGGCAAGGCATCGTTTTCAACAAGAATCAAAAGGATATCCTTCTGAAACAGTTTAAACAAAACCCCTACCTTAATAAAGCTACTAAGTTACAGTTGGCCAAGGAGATTGGCGTTCCGGAGAAAAAGATTCTGGTAAGCACTAGCTTCCTAATTCATTATCTATCAGAGTCAAGGTGAAGAAAAAAGGTGGGCTCAGCACTGTCAGGCAAATCTCTTATGTCTGGTATGCTTCCCAGAAGGTTATTCCTGTTACATAACTTTTAAAACAAAATAAAAGGCACAAGAACTCTGTTTATATTTTTTACCAATGGGGGAAACAATTCATTGACAGAAGAATATATTAATGTAGGTTCTCTCATAGGAGAGACTTAAAATCAATTTTAGCAAATATAATAAATTAGATCACTATGATAGCGATATGGTATTAAATATTAGAATATATACTGCAGAATAATTATCTACTTATATAAAAACCATGGGTGGTGTTCCTCACATACAGATGAACAGCAACCAAGAGGAAGGAAGTCAGCCCTACAGGGGTTGTCTTGGCAACGGCTGCACCCACCCCCAAGCTGTTTCCTGTAAGGACAGAGTTTGAGGCAGGAACCTGCCCTGGGAGCATGGAGGCTTAGAAAAGACCCACAAGAGAATGAAGCCTCCAGGTCTGGGTGGATTGCTGCTTCTCTGAGAGACAGCGACCACGCCCACAGCCATGCCTTTATTTTATAGCAGATGCTAGAGGCAAAGTAAGGGTGTGACCAAGATGTTTACAAACATTCTCCTGGGTTTCAATCCTACCCAACTACATGCACCTGAACTCTATCAAACCCACATCACTCAGGCACATGGGGCCACGTGTTCCGACCATAGGTTCAAGCTTACAACTACAGGTGTTGGCTATAATTGTGCTGGGAGGGCCCTGCCCTCCAAGCTGGGACTTGCACGTGGCAATGAGAGGACTGCCCTCTCATCAGTCCAAGGCTTGAACCTGTCCAAAACACTGTAGCGGCTCCCCACAATAAAGTTTTAATTCTGTTTCTTTGTTACTAATGTTGTGGCCCCATTCCATAACAAAGAAACAAAGGAAAATTTCCCCATCGAATTTCTGAATAGTATTACTCCTTCGGGAATGCTGTGTCATAAATTAAAATTGAAAGTGGGTGCAATCATCATGCTATTGAGAAATCTCAATAGTAAATGGAGTCTTTGTAATGGTACCAGATTTATTATCAAAAGATTATGATCTAACAGGATCTGCAGAGGGAGAGGCTGTTCTGATTCCAAGAATTAACTTGTCCCCATCTGACACTGGCCTCCCATTTAAATTGATTCGACGACGGTTTCCCGTGATGCCAGCATTTGTGATGACTATTAATAAATCACAAGGACAAACTCTAGACAGAGTAGGGATGTTCCTACCTGAAACCATTTTTGCACATGGTCAGTTATATGTTGCTTTCTCTCGAGTTTGAAGAGCATGTGATGTTACAGTTAAAGTTCTAAGTACTTCATCACAAGGGAAATTAGTCAAGCACTCTGAAAGTGTTTTCACTCTTAATGTGGTGTACAGGGAGATATTAGAATAAGTTTAATCATTTTATCAGTCATTGTTTGCATCACTGTTGTTTTTATATCATGTTTTTGCCTCTGTTGTTGTTATATCCTTTTGTTACTGTTTACTTATTAATACATTTATATATTATTTTCAATACATTTTACTAATTTCCTTTCATCTCTCACATTTCTATTATAGAGAAAGGGCAAATAGCAATGTTAAAATATCTCTGCTAATTAATTTCCTTTTTAAAAAAAATACATTTTATTGAGTTTTTACAGAGAGAAAGGGAGAGAGATAGTTAGAAACATCAATAAGAGGGAAACATCGATCAGCTGCCTCCTGCACACTGCCCACTGGGGATGTGCCCGCAACCAAGGTACATGCCCTTGACCGGAATCAAACCTGGGACCCTTGAGTCCGCAGGCCGATGCTCTATCCACTGAGCCAAACCGGTTAGGACAATTAATTCCCTTTTAATGTGCATGAATTTCATGCATCGGGCTACTAGTTATTACATAATTAGGAAACTGGGGCAAGAACTTATTTAACTCCCAATTTTCAGACCAGGTTTTTCTTTTTTTAAATTAATATATATATTTTATGTTTTTTAAAATATATTTTTATTGATTTCAGAGAGGAAGTGAGAGGGAGAGAGAGAGAAACATCAATGATGAGAGAGAATCATTGATTGGCTGCCTCCTGCATTCCCCCCACTGGGGGTGGTGCCCACAATCCGGGCATGTGCCTTTGACTGGAATTGAACCCAGGACCCTTTAGTCTGCAGGCTGATGCTATATCCACTGAGCCAAACCAGTTAGGGCTAAATTAGTATCTTAAATGTGGTTCATAAACAGGAGTATATGAAGTAAAATCCTATATTGTGTTATTTTGAATAGAACTACTGATGTAAAACTGAAAATAAGTTGGATTTTTTCAGTCAGCAAGAAGATAGCTGTAAATAATACAATTATACCAGATGAAACAGTATTTAAAACAATGAAGACGATTGAAATATGCTTTTGGAGCAGTAGTTCTCAACCTTCTGGCCCTTTAAATACAGTTCCTCCTGTTGTGACCCAACCATAAAATTATTTTCACTGCTACTTCATAACTGTAATGTTGCTACTGTTATGAATCATAATGTAAATATCTGATATGCAGGATGGTCTTAGGCAACCCCTGTGAAAGGGTCATTTGACCACCAAAGGGGTCGCAACCTACAGGTTGACAACCTCTAAGGAAAATAATGAGTTCAGATTTAGTTATAAGGTTCTCAGTCTGATGAGATGCTGGGAAAAAGAAATTTTACTCTTCATGCATTTGTTCTGGGTGTGGGACAGTTTACTCAAATCTCATCCTATGGCAATATCTGGTGATCATAGCTGAATGACAGATACTGGGCCCATTTGAGCTGATGTGGAAGATGGCAAGTCCAAAAAACAATGTAGGATGAGGTTGGCTCTACCATAGTGTTCACTGATTTATTCATTAGTTTCCAGGTGCCACCTGTGCTTAACACCTTTCGTACCGCATAGAAATCTCTAAGACATATGCCGGGGACCGCACGTTTTCGGGCAAACTGCACGTTATTTAAATCATCATAATGCACTTTAGGTGTCGTTTTTCAATAATTATAACATTTTTATTTACAAAAACAATTAAACAATTAAAGTTCCTAGTACTTTTTTAACGTATGGTACTGCATAAAACATTTTCCTCTATGAAGAGGGACCAAACAAAATTTACATAAGTATCTAGATTCGCTTTTTCCATGGGCGTGAAAAACGAGAAAACTCGTGAGCGGTACGAAAGGTGTTAAAATGTATTTAAAAATGTTTTTAGTAATTAATTTAGAGAACAGATATAACCTTTTAGCGTAACGCCTGGGTTTAAGAGTGGTTCCTTGGCTATTGGTGGTCATTAATAGTCTAACTCTTATCACAAATTATCTATATATATAAAAGCCTAATATGCTAAGTGTCCAACCATTCAACTGTTCGACCAGTCATTATGATGTGCACTGACCACCAGGGGGCAGACCCTCTGACCGGTAGGTTAGCTTGCTGCTGGGGTGCAGCCAATCGGGACTGGGTGAGACGAGCCAGACATACCCTGGAGCCCTTACACAGTCCCTCCCTGGCCCTGATCGATCGTGCACCACTGGGGTCCCTAGGCCTGGTCTGCACCCTCTCGAAATCCAGGACCCCTCGAAGGATGTCAGAGAGCCAGTTTCTGCCTGATCCCCACAGGCCAGGTTGAGGGACGCCCCCCCTCCCCTACTGGTGCACAAATCCGTGCACCGGGCCTCTAGTCTAATTATAAAAGTAAAACATTCAGCATTCTGACTCCAGTAATGAAGAAATGAGCAAAGGGGAGAAAACCAAGATGGCGGCACAGGTAAACACCTGAAATTGCTGCCTCGCACAACCACTTCAAAAATACAACTAAAAGACAAAACTGACATCATCCAGAACCACAGGAAGGCTGGCTGAGTGGAAATTCTACAACTAGAAGGAAAGAGAAACGCACATTGAGACTCAGAGGGGGTGCTGAAGTAAAGTGCAGAGGTATGGAGGCTTGAGTGCGCGCAGAAAGGGGTTGGCAACGGAGGATGCCGGTGTCTTTTTCAATTGGGAGGGAGGCACAAGCTCCCGACGGCCCTGACTCCAGTTCCGGGCGAGTCTCTGGGGACCCAGACTCATACGGGGAGAAACTGGACTGTCTGGCAACGGGCGGAACTCGAGGGCAGCTTTCTCTCAGAGGTGCTTGCAGCGATTACCAGGACACTGAGACGCGGGACCTCTTAGGGTAGGACTGAGGATCAGCCATAGCTGTTTGCTCCGCCCTGTAATTCCCGAGACCCCATCCCACCCAAGCTGTGTGCAGAGGCTTTTGCATATGAATGGGCTGGCCCTTTGAGATTTAAAATTACCTAACAAACTGCAGCTGAGTCAGAAAGACTCAGAACATCCAAAAGAAGGCCCAAAGCCCCACAGCAGCTTGCATTGCTTCACAGCTGGGCCTCATCTGGGCACCTCCAAAACCCAAACAAGGAAGAGGAACCTGCAGATCTCTCCGTACCTCCTGCTGGGTAGCCTCAGGCAGAGGCTAAATTAACACCTCCTTAGAGATTCAAGAGCCTGTGTACCCAGTGGTCAGATTGGGACCATCCAGATTACAACTCCCCAGATCCATAAGAGACACACTCAGGGGGTAGACTCAGTGAGCACCAAAGCCCCACTGAAGCAAGTCTTGCCCCAGAAGGGTGTCTCCAGCACAGAAGTTCTCCCACTATAGACACAGCTGATTCTCACAGCCAATTGGCCTGGAGGTCA